TTTTTCCAGAGAAAACTTCAAACCTTTCAAGGTCAGAAAAAAATTGTGGAAGATTTTGTCAAATTAAATGGAAAGGCCACTGAAGCTTCATATTGCGTTGCATTGCGTATTGCCAAGGCAGGCAAAGCACATACCACTGGAGAGACGTTAATTATGCCGGCAGCAAAAGACCTGTGTTCCGTGATGCTAGGAGAGGCAGCGGCTTCTAAGATCGATTCTGTTCCACTCTCTGACAGCACAATAAGTCGGCGCATCTCAGACATGGCACAGGATGTGAAGGAAGTTTTAGACAGCGTCAGACACAGCCCATTTTTTGCACTCCAGATCGACGAATCCACCGATGTGGCCAGCTGCGCTCAGCTGTTAACATATGTGCGGTACGTGAAAAACATGGACATTCAAGAAGAGTTTCTATTTAGTAGTCCTTTGCCCACCCACACAACAGGTGAACACATTTTCAACAAATTTAATGAATTTGTGAGAAAGAACGATATAGACTGGGAACGCTGCTGTGGCATATGCAGTGATGGGGCAAAATCAATGACGGGCCGCCACAGTGGTCTCATATCGAGGGTTAAAGAGGTAGCTCCGAGAGCCGTGCGGACCCTCTGCACAATCCATAGACAAGCCTTAGCTGCCAAGAAGATGCCAAATGATCTTTGGAGTGTCCTCGACGAAGCTGTGAAAATTGCCAACCTGATAAAAGCACGACCTCTAAATGCTCATCTTTTCCACATTTTATGCGATGAATTGGGAGCACATTAAAAACAGCTGCTTCTGCACACCGAAGTCCGCTGGCTGTCTCGGTGAGTTCTATCACGACTTTTTGATTTGCGTGAGGAAGTGCTATTTTTTCTGTCAAAAAAAGTCTGTCCACGATCATATTTTGCGCATGTTTTGCGCAGCTTGTCAGTGAACATCGGCTCTGTGTAGTAAATGCTTCTCCATGTGAAAGCATGCACGTGATGGAGATTTACCGCTGATTACAGAACGGCTTTACTGACAAGATGCGCGTTAAATATCGCATGCGATTTATCATGCAGCCCTAATCTATAACTTTAATAAGAAGACATTTCTTACATGAATGCTGCTTTTAAATGCTCTAGCGTGAATATACACATGATGGCTTGTGTGCGGCTCACTCAGGGCGGTGTGTCAGCTAATAAGGCAGTGTCCATCAACAGTTGTGGGTGGCAGAGATGGCAAAAATACACACATCCTTCACTCAAGTAGAATTACAGATACTCATGTTTAAAAATACTCTGTTAAAAGTAGAAGTACTGACTACACTTTTTTACTCAAGTTAAAGTAAAAAAGTATGGGCTCTGACATTTACTTAAGTAAAAAGTACCCATTACTACTACCATATTGACACATTAATACAAAATAACTTTTAAAATTTTGTTAGCTAATGAATGTATCAAGGCTGAACAACCACCATGTAGACAGGGCAGGACTGGGACAAAATTTTAGGCCAGGAAATCTCTCACTCATCCAGGCCATCCCATACAGCCACAAAAAATTCTGAAACCACAGACAACCCTATTTTTTTATGGCCATCACATTTAAAAAAAGGGTTCAAACCTTAGGCTGTGTCCATGATTAAAGATTAAAACTAAAGTAACGAGCCTGGTTTAAAAATATAAGACGTAGAAAAGCTGACATTTACTTAAGTAAAAAGTACCCATTACTACTACCATATTGACACATTAATACAAAATAACTTTTAAAATTTTGTTAGCTAATGAATGTATCAAGGCTGAACAACCACCATGTAGACAGGGCAGGACTGGGACAAAATTTTAGGCCAGGAAATCTCTCACTCATCCAGGCCATCCCATACAGCCACAAAAAATTCTGAAACCACAGACAACCCTATTTTTTTTATGGCCATCACATTTAAAAAAAGGGTTCAAACCTTAGGCTGTGTCCATGATTAAAGATTAAAACTAAAGTAACGAGCCTGGTTTAAAAATATAAGACGTAGAAAATATATTTGTGTAAAAATGTAAGGAGTGAAAGTAAAAAGTAGACAGAAAAATAAATATTGAAATAAAGTACTGATACCAGAAAAATCTACTATTTTGTAGTATTTGTACTTCTTTCTTCCCTTCTCTGGTGGGTGGGGCTTGTAAAGTGTGACGTCACATTTGATGTATTCTGTGATTGGCTTGCTCTGAGACACTGCTTATGTTTTATGGGGATTTAAAAAAAAGGAGCGGGTGGATTTTTATCACTATAGGGTGTTAGTGTACACATACTGCCATCACACATTTGTTCAAACAACATGTAAAAGTGAATTTTGCATAATAGGTGCCCTTTAAACATGCAGTTAACAAATTATTATATACCATCAAGAAATCAAGCAACCGTAACCATGTATGATTAAACCAAGCCAAATTATCACCAGAAGTGGCCAAGAGTCAGGGGAAGTTATGCAGAACATGAATCGGCCCAGCTTTACCGCAGTAAAAAAAAAACATTTTTCAGAACCAGCTGCCACACTTATTGGCATGGATAATACATGCCGATTCAGAGTCTGAGCTGCAGGCGCCATGGAACTGCTGAGCTCGAGCCAGTTCATGCTTAATATTTGATCTTCTCACCAATCGGAGGCCAAGAGTGTTTGAGCAATATGAGAGACTATAAGTGTTTTTGTTTTTGCTTTGGTTTTAGTGGGAGGAGGGATGTTTCTTATTTCAGCTTTCCTCTTGTTGCCAAGTACTCAAACTGTGAGTGGTCAGTCCAGCAGGATGATGCTGCTGCTTCCACTGTTTTTATGGATACTGTTGGTATCCAATACCCAGGTTTCTTCCCAAAGCCGGTGAGTTGAATTTTTAAATATGCTGTTTAGCATGTATTCCAGTCTTCCTGTTTATCTGAATATTTAATAAAGAGGTACAAACAGCAGCAGGTCAGACAAAGACACTCTTGAAACTTAATAATTGCTAGTCAATTTGACAAATAATGACAAAAAACATCATGTAACATTGAATTCAACAAAATATTTAGGTAGAAAGATTAGGTAGACTAAAACATTTTTTTGTGATACTTATTCCAAAAATCTTTGTTTTATTTTCAAAAATCAATTTTTACAGTGTACATTAAATCTATTCATCATATGAAACGATAATTTCTCTTCAGATAACTTGGATTAAACTACTCAAATATTAATTGCTTGTACTATGTTTTTTTATAAACGTCAAAGTTTGGACTTTTCAATGGGGGTGCAGAAATCTCTGAGGTTTCATTAATATCTTTATTTGTGTTTTTTGAAGATTAATGAAAATCTAATGGGTTTGGAATGACATGAGGGTGAATAAATGACAGAATTTTTATTTTTGGCTGAACTAACCCTTTAAACACGGTGTTAAGTATTTTGTCTGTGTTTACAGTGACAATCATGTCCTGGACTTGGCACCACAGTAAGTACACAACTTTCCAATGTCCTTAGTGTAAAGACATACACAAACATAATTAAAACAGCGTGCCGCAAGGGAATCCAATATGCATATGTTATTACCTTATGAAAAGCTGATAAGTGGTTTGTAGTAAAACTGCATGTACTGTATTCTCTGACAGGTTTATCATCCTAGTTCCAGCAAGGCTTAGGCTTGGAATGAAGCTGAACATTTTACTAGAGGCGCACAGCCTGTCCAAGCCAATCACTGTCAACGTCACTGTCTATACATACCCGAACAGATACGTCCTGACACGGGACTCTGCCATCCTCAATTCAAAAAACAGCTACAGTGCTCTCAAAACCATTGAGGTTGGGTCAGAGGACTGAGTGTATTTATTGTCTTTGTGTGTAGAATCTAGAAATCTGCCATTTTGTAATTAAGCAAAATGTCTTGTTAACAGTTTACTTAAAAAAAAATAAAAAAAATAAGGTAGAGCTTGTTGAGGTAAATAATTATCATATGGATATATCTGTTATTTATTTTTCCATAAGCTCAATCCAAACCTGTTGACTTTGGAGACAAAGAAGAATAAATTTGTTACACTGGTTGCTGATTTTGGGAGTTTCCATATAGCTAAGAAAATTATCATGCTGTCATTCCGCTCTGGATATATCTTCATTCAAACCGATAAACCGGTTTACAACCCTGGAGACACAGGTCAGCTCTTACACTAGACTAAGCACTAAGTTAATGTTAAATTACAAGTCTGTATCTCTGTTACTTCTCACCTTCTATTTCTGAATCTCTCAGTTCATTACAGGGCTTTTGTATCCAATCCTGAATTCCAAGCTTTCAACAGCACAATATCGCTTGAGATTCAGGTGACTGTCATTATCATTAAAATTAGCTTAATTTGATTTGATTTCATTCCGTTACTTAATATCATTATTGATGCTTTTTATATATACCTCCATGGAACAATCAGAACCCAGATGGTATTGTGATACACGGCAGAGCCAATGCCAGTGCAAGCAACGGGATCCTATCTGAAAGCTACACCCTCTATACTGTGGTCAAGTATGCAAAGAGATTTGTGTTTTGCAACTGTCAACTAACTCTTATTAGAACTGTCTCTGAACTCTTATTATTACACTGTCTGCTAAATATCTGCTGACACTTTATTTTGATGGTCTCCCAACAGACATATATACTGGCTATAAGTAACTTTGCATGTACATATCAACTTATTCTACTAATCCTAACCTAACAGTCTAGTTAAGAGAGTTAGTTGACGTAATTACACATTTACATTCCCTTTCTTTAGCATTTCTATTTGCCTCAATTCATTTTTGAGGTACCAGAAGCAGGGCTATGGTTCCCTGTATGTATCACAGCAATGTTGGTTAAGCAACTTCGAAATTGTGCTGCCTTCAAGTGAGCTTAGGAAACTCGTACCTCCAAGTCAGACATTTGTTGTTAAGACATGTCATGCATTCAAGTGGGAAACATAACACAGAAGTAACAAAACAAGAATTATATTATGAATAAGAAACCCAAATAATGTGAATTAAAATTAGGTAATACATTGTATCAAAACTACAGTTTTGTATTACATAAAGAAAATCGTGAAAGTCAAGTGACTAAGTTGATTCTTTTTTTTCAATCTGAGTAGTCCAAATATTTATTTAGATATGCAATCTGAAAAAAAACTGACTTCATTCAATAAGTCTAAGTGGTCATAATAAATGAGACAAACAAGGGACTCGTGCACTATCACGCACACAAGAACATTGAGGTCACGATAATTAAAAATCAAGCACATGTAAACTTTTGAACAGGGTTATTTTTTATAACTTCAGATAATAATTTGTCTTGTGGACTAAAAGAAAACATTTGATGTGTGAAATAGCTAATTAAATTTTTTTATTTGGCACTTTAGCTACTGTACACCAATTCTGGAACTAAAATTTTTGTTTTTATTTCCTAGAGAGGGAAAACGGAAAGTTGTTGCGAAGTTTGACAATGTTAAAGCAAACACATTCAGCGCCGTGTTTGATGTAAAGAAATACGGTAAGTTATTTATATTTTTCTTGGTGCAGACATTTACCTGCTGCCATGCATGGTTAGAATAATTCAATTTCTCCTTGTTCCCAAGTTCTCCCGCCATTCAATGTCACTTTAACCCCAAAGAAATCCTACTTAAGCCTAGATGAGGAAAAGTTGGAAGTAGAAGTCACAGCCAGGTGTGTCAATCAGAACTGCTTTCACTGTTACTCAAAACTCACCTAAATTACAACCATATTAAAATGGATGTTATATTAGCTCTAAATGTAATTATTGGGCTTTTGTGTTGATATTTTCTGAAGTGAAACTGTGCAGTTGTTATAAAACTGCTATACAATTTTCAGTGATAGCAACGAATTGCCAGATGCAAACCTCTCAAAATTAACTTTCTGTTTGACACATAGGGGCTTTGGCCCTGGCTAAAATCTTATTGGCCTATTCCTGGTAAATGTTTGTTTATGCAAAGCATCTGAGAGAGGGGCTCTGGCCAAACCCTCCAAAGTTAAATGAAACTGCTCTACAAAACAACGGCACACTGTAGCCCTGTGGCACCAGTCGCTTGGAGAAAATGTCTTATATAAACATAATTATTGAAAGTGCATAATTTTCATATGCAGTGTAACTGTTTTTAACTCTATAATCATGATTCTTCTATATATTGTAAGCCTCTGGTAATGGACTGATGAGTACCATAATTCCCCATTGATTAAATAAATTAATAATTACAAAAAAAAAATTTGCATTACAAGTTTTCTGAAATGTTATGATTAAATATGCAAATTAGGTATTATCTAATTAAATATGCACTAATTTTATCTAATTGAACATTAGATAAAGTCAGGTTAAAAATTCCTGTTTAATTTTGTAGAGTCAAAGGTTTTTACAGAGGGAATTTTGAATATCTATTTTTAATCACAAATCAGAAAACACTGTCAACAGTAGGGCTGGGTTTTGACACAAATTTCACGATTCGATTCAATTCTCATTCACAAGCTTGCGATTCGATTCGATTCAATATAGATTATTTTGGATATATATCTGGTACACATGCAAAATTTTCTCAAGAAAAAAAAATCTCTTAACTAATGCTGTAAAATATACATGAGAGTCAGTTTGTAGGCTATTAAATTACTATAATATTGAAGCTTAAAACTGACTGATTTTTTAGGCTATACAACTGCTTAAATTACACTTAATGAAGTTTTTATAATAAAAGTTACAATTACATAATAATATTTGTACTTCGATTTTTTATTTTTTTTAATATAAACATTTAAATGGTGGCTGTCATAAAAAAATATGTATAAATTAAACATTGAAGAAGAACAGTAAAAGTTATAATGAATATATTATATGGTGCATATATTTAGCAAAATACCCCTCCCTACAGTTTATTTTTCTAGCTGACTAATGAGATTATGGTCACCGAATATGTTTTTTTCTGAGGTAAATGTGACGTTATGTGATATTGTTTACAAGCTGTTATATTGACGTGTTTGCGCGGCTGAAACACTGATTGAGCGATTACATGAGACAGGATACAGATTGTAAAGTTATACTCTTTCTTTTAACTTACCTTCGGATGTTTAGTCATGATTATTTTGTGCTGAAACTCGTATTTTTTGTGCTGAAACAAAACAGTTTTTCTGAATTGCTAAAACACTAACCCCCTTTCTCTGAACCAAATTCTCACTAGCTTAAACCAATTTGTCCAATAAAGCACTCTTTCTGCTAAACCTTAAACACATTCAGGCAGTTAGGCTTACACATTCTCAAACACTTAAACACTTATCACACTGTAATGCATTTGTGCTGCAAAATGCTAAACACAAGCGGCAAAAGTTAAACACAACTAAAGCACAGTTGTCATCGTTTACACACAACGATTCAAAATTGTTCACACTTGTTTCTAATGATGTGATCAAACCAACTGTACAAAATATGAGCCAGTTCAGAGTGCACAAGTGGCACAGGTGACTGAATGACGATATGAGCAATAGATGGAAACAATCTGAGAAGGAGAGGAGGAAGAGTACATGTAAGAAGTGGAGGATGAGGAGAGAAAGAGTAAGGTTTAGAGAGTGTTATCAAGGCCATTTATTGTTTGAATACAGCAATTCGATGGACAGAATTTGAAATCTGAGACTTTGTTTCATATTAAAAGTAACAAAGCATAATGCTTATTGCGATTTATTGGATGGGAAGTGCCCTTCAATGTTCCGTCCATTAACTGAAAACAGGATAGACTAATCGATTCTCGGGATGTAAGAATCGATATCGTTTTGTAAAAATGAGAATCAATCATAATCGAGATATCTATATTTTTTTACCCAACCCTAGTCAACAGCCAGAAAGAAAGAAAAAATCCACAATATATCTATGAATAAAATGTTGTGTAAAATCAGTCAAATGATATATGAACAAACCCCTCTGTAAAAATCTTCTTAAAAGAAATGAAAGGTCATTTTGAGAAAACAGTCTTTAACGATATTTATTATTAGATATTTAAGTAAGAGACACAAAGTCACAAATAGATAAAATGCAATGAAATAAACATAAAAGTTTACAGTATTTTGGATGTTTTCTTTTCACTAATTAGAAACAAGTTATGCCAAAAATCTCAAAACTGACCAGTGCATAACAAAATGTTTTTGTCTGTGACTTGTCTTAAATTGCTCGAAAAGAAAGTAGTACGTTTGAGGTCTTGAATCCACCTTTCAAGGATACAGAGTCATATTAGGCCTCTTAGGCCCCCCTCTTTAAAAAAAATCATAGAATCACTACTGGTCTTCTGACAGCATGGTTTAATTAGTTTATCATGTAAATGATAAACATTCAAAACTTAAAAAGATTATCTAATGAATCACTATGTGTCTTGTTCCCAGGTATCTTTATGGTGAACCAGTGAAAGGTGTTGCATTTGTGCTGTTTGGTATTGAAATAAATGGTGAGAAAAAGAGAATAACATCTATGAAGCAACTGAACGATGTAAGTTAAAGAGAGTGAGAGGTGTATGTAAGAAAGAAAATACATTTATTTTCTATTAAAGACTTACCTGTTTGTTTACAGCTAAATGGAAAAACTGTTAGTTTGACTATGGAGGAGATAAAGAAGGCCTATCCTGACACAAACAGCTTACTGGGGTCTTCTGTGTATGTCAAAGCATCAGTATTGACCAGCTCAGGTGGGAGATCATTACCCTTGAAATGAGACCACAGTTATGCAATAAATATGTAGAAAACTAGCATGGTGATATTTTTATACCTCCAATATTTTAGATAAATTGCAAGCTTGCTTTGGCCAATCATAATTAATATAATTGTTAATAATCAATAATAATGTTATAATTCATAATTAGAAGTACAAATCGATAGCTTCTATTGTTTTGTTTTTTAATGTTTAAATACTTTCTTTTCCTCAGGTAGCGACCTTGTGGAATTAGAGAAATCCGGCATTAAAATAGTAATGTCACCCTACATGCTTTCCATCAGGGACACACCAAAATATTTCAAACCTGGCCTGCCATTAGCCATAGTGGTAATTTTGATACTGTCACATTTACTGCTCGATTGATGTTAGCATTATTCTTTCAAATGAATATTAGAGGCGAATCGTTGTATCTTGTTGTTTAGGTTACAGTGAGTAACCAAGATGGATCTCCAGCTCCTAATATCCCTGTTGAAATCAACTTCCTTCAAAAAACAATCAATACACACAGCGGCACTATCAGGGTCTCCGTCAACATGCCTGATGAAGACAAGACACATATATTGAAGGTACATTGAACACAATAGAAACTCTTTAGAAGTTGAGTATTTAAGGTCCGTCTATGACTCCACAGTTGCATGTGGGACAGGATTAGAATACACTCTTAAAATAATGGTTCCAAAAGGGGTTTTTGCAGTGATGCCATTGAAAAACCATTTTTGGTTCCCCAAAGAACCTTTCAGTGAGCAGTTCTTAAAAGAACCATTTAATGCACCTCATAGAGTAAAGAGCATTTTAATAATCTAAAGAACCTTTTCTACTATAAAGAACCTTTCGTGGAATGGAAAGATTCCATGGATGTTACAGACAGAAGATTTTTCTAGGAAACATAGATGCCAATAAAGGGTGTATATGTGTGTCTTATTTTGGTAAACATGTCCGTACATTGGCAGGTAAAAACAGCTCTTCCTGGTGTGAATGCAGAAAAGCAAACTTTAGAGGAGATGCCTCTGGAGCCATATTTTGGTTTTGACGGCTACAGTAAGAACTACTTGCACATCTCAGTGGGCTCCAACAAAGTGGCAGTGGGCAACAGTCTTATCATCAAAGTATACATTAAAACCGCCTCACCAGAACACAGAAAACTTGTGAAGCAGCTAACGTACACTGTGAGTGTTGGACATTTTGGGGAGAGCTAAACATGACTGGAATACAGTAGTCTTTAAGTATACAGTGCTCTCTTTTCCTTATTTCTTCTTTTCTGACCTTTTTTCCCTCTCTCCTCTTCCTGTCTAGGTTTTGAACAAAGGGAAAATAATAACAGCTGCCAGGGTAGATGTAGAATGCCAGGATGTCGTAATTATTCCTTTGCTGGTGACCACAGAGATGCTACCTTCATTCCGGCTGGTGGCGTACTATATGTTGCCATGGCAACTAAATGCAGAAGTGGTGGCAGACTCAGTGTTTGTAGATGTGAAGGACCAGTGTGTAGGCTCAGTAAGTATGCTTTGAACTAAAAACTTCTATGAAGAATACATATAGCCTACTCGTTACAGAGTGCATTAGTGCCCACCCATTTTTTCAGCAGCGCTGGTTCTGGAAGTATTTTTAGGGGCCAAGCCCTGAAGGGGTGTAGACCCTATTGTATCTGTTAGTTTTCTTATTCCTGAATGGAAGTCAATGGCAGCCCTATCAACCGTACATAGAAAAATGATGAAATTTGGCACACTTATAGTGGTGGTCATGAATAGTAATTTTACCAACTTTGGGGTCTCTAGAACCAACTCTATAGTGCCACCACCAGTTCAAAAATTTAGTTCATCTGATTACTCTCCTTATGCTGACTCAGCCCATTACAGTAGTGGTCATTTTGAACAGTACAGTATTCCATTTTTTTTTTTTTTTGCTACTTTTTAAAATTTTGTCATATCAAAATTGAATCAGATTATCATTGGACCTTGCTACACATAAATGACTGAACAGAATTTTGATATTCATCTTTGTTTAGAAGTTATGATGATGCAAACTTAACAATGCTGACCAAAATTTGGATCAGAGGCTGTGTATCGGCAATACTTTGATCTGTTGAAATGAAACTCTGTATGATTTATCAGCAGGATGATATGAGGCTCCATGTTGAATTTGGGAACAGCAGCACCTACAAGTCATGAGACCTGAAAAATAGCTATTTTTGCTTATAACTTTTGACCAGTTTGTCAGAAAATCAGCGCCTATGGATTCCTTCGGTCATGCTAAATCCGTAGATATCATTTTGGATTGGGGATTGGATGAACCTCCTGTCTGCCATATTGAAATTTGTTGTTAATTGCAATATCTTTTAACCCTTTGATGCATAAGATCACACCAGTGTGATCACTCTAGGCTGGTCCCCGGAGTGTATGATCACACCGGTGTGATTACAACGTTCAGTGTATGACTTGATCAACTGCAGAGACAGACACATTTAGCACATGTCATACATCACAACTGTTCTGTTTTCGACCACATTATGTTTATTTTAGGTTTCAGAAATTTAAATACACATAAGTACTAGCAAAAATACATTTATAGTTGGGCTGGGTGATTAACCCTTAGATGCACGAATGTTTCGCCAATCATTATTACATATTCGGGTTTTTAGCGACCCAGGACCTACAGTATATATCCAACACGGATGGATCTCTAACTGCTGCAATAGCAAAAAACTCTCTTGATATTTTAAGAACAATTACAGAAGAATAAAATAAAGCATATTTCGTTACCTTTTGAAACTTAGAAGGGTTCAATTTGAGCAGAAGATTTAACCATCGCTGTCCACAGTACATTCAGCATCTGGCTCATATTCGCGATCTAAACCATATTCTCATAACCATCATTTTCAATGACTTCAAAATCAATATTTTGATCGCTAGCAGCTTATTCACAACATCTACCATCAAATGACAATGACATTTAATTTTATTGCATACAGTAAATTGCTCTTCAGGAAAGCCATTCAAACCAGTTACATTTTTGCTGATGATATTCTTTTGTTTTATACCTGCAGTAATTATGAGTGAAACATCACATCATCATTGTTGATCAAACAGTGATTCATCAGATATTTAAATATTGTTGCACAGGAAAAATATACATACACACCTCAGGCCTCGTGTTTTCGCTCAACGAAGAAATCTATGGGAAACTCTGACTCTGCTGAGCAGCACCTGGCTTCGGCAGCTGTGCAGTCACAGTCGGAAACAGAGTTGATGACCATGCTCCTTTCGGCAGCCAAGAGCATCGGGCTGGAGGTGAATTCGCCTCCTTTCCCCAAACACTAGATGCTGAATAATTGGTATTTGTGCTCCGGACGTGACTCTCAGCCACACTCTGCCCCAGTGTCATTCTTCCCAGAGGTTCATGAAGAGCTCACCAAAACGTGAAAGGCCCCTTACACCGCCCGGTCACATTTGAGCTCTTCCCTCCTCACTACCCTCGATGGTGGGGTGGCCAGGGGTTACGTTGACATTCCCCAGGTGGAGCGTGTGGTTGTGGTGTACCTGCAGCCATTTAGAGGAATCATCTGCACCTCCTTTCCAAGGCCTGTAAGCTGTCGTCAGCTCTGGCTGCCAAGGCTTACAGTGCTGTGGGCCAGGCCACCTCCACCATCCTGCAGGTACATCAGGCGAAGGTGCTTTACTCCCTGGGGTTGATGGTCGCAAATATTCTGTGATAAAGTAATCCATATGAAACCAACACGATGTCCAGTTTTTCCCGTTAGAGCTCATTATCTCTAATGTGATCATGCCCACGAGTCGAGCGCGCTTTTGATATTACAATCTTCCACGTGAGATGCAAGATCATGTAAACGCTCACATCACCTCCGTAAACAAAGAAACAGTAATCAAGTTCATCTCGAATACTTTGGAAGAAGACGCGCTGAGAGAAATAAGCTTTGGATTACCTCAGAAAAAGGAGGAGATGTGGCTTGATCCAGTGAAGGATATCATTCTGAAGTGTAAGTAATGTTTCTTTTTTGCATTAGTTAATGTGTTATTGTGATTATAAACACGAATACATTTACTAGTTAGGCTTTTCCCAAACTATTTCAGACTAAAATGTTTGAAATCGAGTGAAACATTTTTAATATCATTGTATATAAATTTTGTACGATGCGAGGATGCTTTTATGCTCTGTAGAATATAACAAAATATGATATAAGCTCTTTTCATGAATAGATGTTTACGTGCTTAACAAAATAATAATTAGTTTCTTATTAGATATAAAATGTCCTCTTTTGGGGACACCTGCACCACAGATGAATCCTGCTGACTTCAAAAGTCTTCAGTCTCTTCAAACCGTTTTCCTCTGAGAGCACTGTACCAACATCAGATGTTCAACTACATATTATTATGTTATTTTACACAAAAATGTAAAAACAATTAAGTAATTAATAAATAAGCTCCATGACTACTGATGATGGGGCTGTTTCTTTCTTGAATCTATGGAAAGAAGCAGCAAACACTTGGAAAATACCATGTATGAGATGGGTTTGTCCAATGAGGAAGTCCGGAATCTCAAGTGGGAGTTCTGAGATACTGGGGCGTTTTTATGGCCCTTTGTTTGAAAGCATGGTAATTTGCATATGAAGCTTGTGTAAAAATTATTAAAGACTCTTAGAACACTAATATGTTGCGTAGGTGTAAACATACAATATACACTCTCAATTAGATCATCCGAATACGAATTCATAGTTACTAAACATGGTAGGGTTATATACAGTATATGTAAGCTGACAGTAGTGTGTTTCGATTATAAGCCTGCATAACAGTATACAATTTCAAAGACAAAATACACGATGACAATAATATACCCAATGACCTGAAGGATCATGTGTGTTCATTCAAAGAAAGGTTTTCCTATTAATTAATTAGCAAAGAAAAGTGCTTCCCTTGTGGATTTTCCTTATGGGCAAGGAAGCGATTTTCTTCACCTAAATTCCAGGAGGTCGTAAATGTATCGGG